AAAGAGAAGAGACTGACCACAATTAGTATGAGATTAAGACAGAATAAAATCCCTCATCTTGAAGGTTCCTGTAAGATTACTGACATATAGACTACATGTCCAGGTACATATCAGAACAATATGTTTAGAAATAGCATTTTTGAGAGCAGAAAAACAGAAACAAAGGCCATGTATTAAGCATTTGGGCTATGACCTGTGTTGCACAATGACATTTTGCTTCATGTAACTTAATTATTTTATGAAACGACGATAGAAAATACTATTGCACTTCGTACTTTAAACACTTGACATTTTTATTCCTCAAACTGCAACATTTTAGAAGTCTAGATATGTTTATTAATTAGTGATTATTAACACCCAGTAAACAACATTATGTCTTGTAAAAACACAATCTCTCTTCACAGCATGAAGCTGAAATCTATTATTTCCTGATTCCATATGCTGAAATACACTCAAATGGTCACAAATGACCATAAGCATTAAATAAATGTAAATGAGGATGACAAAGAAAATGTGTTTTTGATTGATAACTAAAAGACCGGGTTGAAAATCATGTCCAAAAATGAAGCCCTCTCCAGAAGGGTATGGCTGTCCGCACTGTGGAGGAAAGTGCCCTAAGAATGGAGAACACACAGGTAAGGGCAGACTTTTCTCTTTCTCTGAACCCCCCAGGGTTCTCTGGGAAGCAGAACTGGTTTGTTCATTTATATGAGAAACAGAAAGCCTGCTGCCCCCTGTGCCATCCGCCTACTCTGAACATTCTAATGCAGGATTTAAAACATATATACGGATACTTCATCACATTCACCAACTAACATAACAGAAAAACATTATTGCTACTCCATGGCTCTCACACCAATACGTCAACCACTTAGGTTTTTAAGCATTGTAGTAAATCGTTGTTTAGCCACCCTTTTTTTTCTTTAATCAAACTGGGCAGCTGGGGTGGCAGAGTGTCCTCAACATAGGGAAAACTCGAAATACTAAGGGATGACAGATTAACAGTAATAAATAAAATAATAAATATGAATTTCAACTTAACTGAAAATACCAAGTTATTCTACCTAGGAGTACTTAAAAAGCTCTATAAATGGCAAATAGTTTATGTATTAACATTTATATCATGAATTATCTTCAAGTCTTGGGATTTTTTGGTGAGGGAGACAAAGTAAGATTGTACTAGCAAAATGTTTACATTCAGCAGCTGACTCCTGGGTATGCATAAGTTCACAGTACCATTCCCTCCACTTCTGTGTATCACTAGTAATAAGACATACTGACACCATGAACATGATGCACTGTTGTATTCTCGTCAAAAGGCAGAACTTCCATCCAATCATGAGTAAATGCCAGACAAACCCAAATCAGAAGGCATCTGACCAAACAAGTGATTAGTGCTCATGCTAAGTGTCAAGGTCAGGAAAGACAAGGAAAGATGAATTCTTTCAGATGGCAGAAATCTAAAGAAAAATAATAACTAAATGCAATGTGTGATCGCAGATAGGATGCTGCAACAGAAAAAAGGCCTTGGTGGAAAAACTGGTGAAATTAGAATAGGTCCATTAGTTTAAGTTGATCAAATTATATCAATATTAATTTTACTATGGTTATGTAAGACGTTAACATTAAAGGAAGATGGGTGAGGAATATACAGAAACTTTCTGTACTATTTTTCCAGCTTCTGAAGTCTAAAATTGGATCAAAATAAAACAAATTTTTAAAATGTTATAGTACATGATCCAGCCTATCTCTCAAAGGATTCTATTTATTTAGCATCATAAATATTTCAATCATGAGTTCACAATTTGAAGATTTTTTAAAATGCCGAAGAGTAAAATTGAATAAATACAAATTTGCAGTTACAAGTTAAGTGCCTTTAATCTCCAGACATCAGGTATTACCATCTTCCGTTTAATCTAACCCTGTTGAATTTTCTAGTTCTGAAGAGCTCCCTTTGACCTTGTCAAGGGTTATATCAATTGGGACAGTGCTCTTAAGTTATGCTTATCATAGAAATGGGATACTTTGGCTTGTTTTCTCTGCTCTGGGCATTGAAAGCTGTTAATTATCTGTATAAGTGAATCATTCTCATTAGAAATTTATCATCCAGCGTTCCAAGGACACAGTATCTCCCCTCTGCTCCTTGTCCAGCTCTCTTGAAGTACAAGATGGGAATGAAAAAGAGGCAGTTAGACATATTTCCTTCAAAATGGTTTCATTCCATCAAAAGAATTCCCTGCATCAAGTCTGCTTGTATTATAGTCCTAATGCTACACATGCTTATTCCCCTTGTATTTTTCATGCAGTTGTTATATATTATTTCATATCCTTTTTGTATTTCATTAATCTAAGAACACACTTGATTCTGTCAAATAACTATACAAACCTCCTATTCTTTTCAAAGATGATAAAAGCATTTTTTCTTTTCCAGCTTTGAACGGTTTAAAAATTTAGACGTGTTTGTAGTTTCTAAGTATTAAAGGTTGCTGTATTTGTATTCCCCTATTTGTAAAAAGAATCCAGAATGTAATTCTTAACCTCATGCAGGAATCTTACAATACAGTGCGTGCACACCTAGAGAAGTCACAAATTTAGGATAAAGATATCACATAACACTCAAGACACTACCTTTTCTATACTTACTTCATTTCATTTACTTGTCTCAGAATCTCATGCTGAGTTTTCACAACAGTGTCCAGTTCTTGCTGAGTGATCTGGAGGAAAACATGACGACCAGCAAGCTCAGTAACCCGCATCCCATGAGCACACAGCACAGCAGCCTTTCTTTTCTGTTCCCCTCCATCTAAGGCTAGCTAAGGCATACCTGCGTATTTGGAAAGCTCACCTGCCCACGCTGCCCGGGGGTTCCTGCTCCTCCTCTTTTAGAGATCTCCTCCGTCAAGGAAGAGACATATCTTCTCTGTTCATCAAGAATCATATCTAACTGCCGGTTCAGCTGCTTGATTTCAAGATGAATACGATTCTGTCCTTCAAAGACTTGTCTTAGCTCACGATCTCCTATACTCTCAAATATTTCATCCGCTGAAGAGGAAATCACAAATTAAAATTATTAGGATCACCTACACATATGTAGTTTTCGAAATACCATAAGTGACCAAAGTGCCGATATATACCAAAATTAGAACATTATCATCATAGTGGTATAATCTCCCAAATAGTAAACATGCACATAATTAATTCAATCAAGATTCAATTACTATTTGTTTTTGCCATTTCTGGTGAACCACTTGTTATAAATTAGGTCTGATTTTTTTCATTTAAAAATAATTTTTCTCTTTCATATATACTATGTGATTCTATGTATATGAATACGCAGAACCAATCTACAGTGATAGAAATCAAAACAGTGATGGGCTCTGTGGAGAGGGGGATTGACTTGAGGGAGGCATGAAGGAACTTTCTGGGGTGGCAGAAGTGTTCCGTATACTGATCTGGTTACACAGATCAGTGATGGTTAAATGGGTATACACATTTGCCAAAATTTACCTAACTATACTCTTTAAAACACTTAATACAATCAGCTTCAGGACATAATCACAAATCACATGTGATGATGTTTAAAACAAATTCAAAAGAAGAATTACATTTATATTTCATTTTTAACTTCATTAAGTCTGAATAATACTATTGATCATTAAGAGAACTGCATACTACACCCAGTGTTCAAATGCTAGACCCAGGCTTTATTAAATACAACTTTGATCATTTACGCTGGTGGGGAATGACCCAGGTAAAAAAGCTGGTAGATAATATAAAGTCCTTCTACTTGGCCTTAATATGTTTTACTTTTGACATTAGCACACTTAAGTTCTTAATTACATTGGCTTAGATGAGTATTTTACAATTTGCAACCTTTACAGTCCAAGATTCTATTGAGTAGTAAGGGGAGGAGGAGTAGATAGCACTTCACATTACTCTCACAATAGTTTTGATGCTTTTCAAGTATTATCCCTATGCTGTAAGGTAACTGTGTGCCACTAAAAGCAGAAACATAAACCTTCAATGATTTCTTTCACCAAATAATTACTGAGCTTCAATACTAGGTCAGCACTGGTTTGGGTTTTGTTTCGTTTAGGTTTAGGGGGCATAGCAGTGAACACAGCAAATTACACCTCTGTCCTCACACACCTTCCACTCTAGTGGTTTCCCTGTTCATCCACATAACCATGGTACTCTTTACTTCATGCATCACTAAGCCACACTCTTACTGGTAAAAATGCCAATCTCCAGACCCTTAAAGACTAAAGATTTGCTCATAAATTGTTTCCAGCAATTACTTGTAATCTGACAGTTCAGAGGCAGAGATGAGCACAGCAGTTCTCTCAATCTTTTTGGTACCAGGGACCGGTTTCATGGAAGACAATTTTTCCACAAACCGAGGTGGGGTAGTGGTGTGGGTTGCGGAGAGGTGGTGTCGAACTCGGGAGGTGATATGCGGCCTGTTTCCTAACAGGCCACGGACTGGTACTGGGCCTCGGCCCGGGACTTGGGGACCGCAGAGCTGGGCAACATACAGACACAATCATCCGTAAGCCACGACCCCTGCTGCTGCACTGCAGTTGGCTTCGCCACAACTCACCAGGTTGCCCTTGGAGGTCAGGGTGGCCCTTCTGGAATTCCTCTTTTTTTTTATCCAATTCTTGTTGAAAGTGCTCAAATTCCTCCTGATACTTTTCTTTTTCTTTTTCTGAAATTTCTTTATCTGGTGTAGGCTTTTTTTGGAGTTTATGAATAGATCATAAAAAGATAAAAAAACCAGTAAGATACCCCAAATATGTTCTTTTTCTCATTTTAACTATTCTACCACTAGCTGAGAGGTTAACAAAAAAAACATCATTCCTTTCTGATATCATAGCCAATTTACTCTTTTAACTTGTTCAAGGTCATACAGCAGTAACTGGCAGAAACAAGATCCAAACCTAAGTTAACCTTTCAAATTTCTGGCCACAGGGCAAAACCATTAAACTGATAAATTTTTTGAAAAAAATGTGTATACTTACCGGCTCTTTTCCAGGTTCAGTCAACTGGAAAGTCAGAAAAGAAAGGACATCATGGTCATCTACAAATTAAAAAAAAAAAGTCTGAAAAAGTTCCATGAAAGATTATTTTTATAGTTGTAAGTGTACTTTATATTTATTGCTTTAAAAAATAATCAATAACAGAAATAGCAAAAATTAGCTCTAATTTGGTAAAGGCAATTGTGCTCTGTGAGCTTAGAAACAATTCATCAGAAAGCTTTACATTACACAGAATCTAAAATTCACTTTCTTAAACCCTAAATCAGAACAGTTAGCAGTGTTTAACATATAATAGACATTTAATAAGTGATGAACAAACAAATGAAGGGTCAAAACAAGTCCAAACTCCTAATCTTGGTACCAAGATCCTCCCACATTTTCCCATAAATCTCCTTCATGGATAATGTCCCAGACAAACGAGACAAAATCCTGCTCTCCATGTATTTCCTGTGCCTATCTGTCTCTCAACCTTTCTTACAGCACATACCACTTTTTTTTTTTTTTTTAATCCCCTACCTGCCCCTACTCCATACCACTTTTTGCCTTACTTTCATATTTGTTTCTCTTACATGGAAGATATTAATAATTTTATCTAAAATCATATAAAAATCAAATTAATTGCAAGCTGTTTAAGCTGAAAGCAGGGACTCAGCACATCAAACCCTCTAACACTGAACTAAGATACCAATCCCAGTTAGTCACATCTACAACACAAGAGCAATTACTTTCAAGTATACAGCAATCTTTATGCTTTCTGCCACTCTTATGAAGATCTACAATTGTAGACAGGTTAAGAAAATAAAATTATAATAATACAGTGTAGATTAGGTAACTGGAGGAAAACCTGTGGGCTAACATTATTGGCCATGTGATCTTGAGAAACTCCTTCCATCGAGGATTTGGCAAACTCATCTGAAAATATGGAAAACACGATCTCTCCTCCCTCCCTCCCAAGATTGTAAAGAACAATCCATATATTTGAAAATACTTAAAACTACAATGTACCATATAAACACAAAATAGTATTAATGCTGAATGACAACTTCGTTTATCAACACATGTGGAAAAAAATGGTAACAATCAGTATATTTTTGTTTAAAGTCTGGTCCCCAAATAACATTTCTTCAGGTTGCCAAATTTGTTGATATGTTATGTGACAACTCTTGGGAGCCTAAAACACTTGGCAATTAATCTTTTATAGGCTCAACTTTAAATGTCTCCTTCACTAAACAGCACCCAAACTGATGCTCTAATTACATACTTGTATGTAGCCCCAGCTAATTGTAAACCTGCAGAACAACATAAGATTAGCAGTCTCAACAGAACAAAAGATGGGCATAGCAGATGAGTGGAAGGTTCCAACTAGTCTTAAAAGGCTAAAAGTAAAAAGTTTACATATTCCTAAAATATACCATTCCCAATAAAACTCAATTCATGAACTTTTAATATTAAAAGATATACCTGCAAGACCTCCAGTTGCAGCAGATATTCCAAAATGTCCTTGTGCAGGGATAATCATGTTTTCCACTTTGGCGCAAAATTCATAATCATTTTTGTCTGGTGTAAAGCCATTATTGATCATTACCTAGAAAGACATACCATAGCCATAACTTTTATAAAAGACATTGATAATATGCATTTCAGTTATTCAATTTTATGACCAATACTATTCATATTCTTGCTTCATTATTATAAAGAGTGATTTTAAATAACCTCACTGTCATTACACAATAAAATATTTTACTTAAGAAAATATTTTTTTGCCCCTCTATGTGTCAAAGGCTTAAAAAAAGAAAATTTTGATCACTTTCCACAAAAATAGACTGCGGCTCACCTTCTCCCAAGAAAATATAGGGATCCATGATTAATCTTTTTGAATAGTTCAAACAGAAAAGGGATCAGACTTGTTCTGAAATCCCATTGACAGAGCTAAAACCAAGAGGTTAAGTGTACAATTTTATCTACAGCTGGCTGAGAATAGATTGCCTTAACGAGTAGTGAGTGCCTCTTTATTAAATTAATGGGGTAACTGGACACTCATAGGTTAGCAGAGAGCCAAAATGACAGATGTCATACTGACAAAAAAGGCAGAAAATGGAAAAACTAAAAAGACACATAAGTGTCTACTCTGCAGAATGTATATGTGAAGTTATGACCCTACATTTCTTAATAGAATCTTGGAATTCTAAGAAAGCACAGGAATCCACCTGACACATGAATACGCTTCTCATTATTATTCCCAGTCAAGTAGTAGTTTAGCCTCTTCAATATATTTCCCTTCTAACAACCCAATTACTAACCCCACTCTAAATAAGAGTCACTAAGATACAGAGTGGATGCAAAAGGAGCAGGTCCATGGCACCAGAGTAAGAGCATTTTTATCACTGCTTTCAGAGTGAAAGTTTTGGACAGTTAAGTCACACAGGTGAAATGTTATAGTAATCCATCCAAATTTTCAGCAAGAGAATAAAATAACCGTCAATATGAAGAGTTAATCTCTATATAGTATAAGATGAAAACGTGAACTAAAAATTACTTTAAAACAATTAATAAGAACACCTAACATTTAGTTTATTTCCTCTAATTAGCAATATTCCTATTTCAGTTTATATCATTTACAACTGGTCCTCCTCTACAGAGTCTTTCAAATTAGAATCAACAATCAGGAAGATATTTCCCTTTGAGTCTTGGAAAGAAGGTAAGTTAATCACATTCTAACTCTAACACTAAAAACTTTCAGGTGTTTGGTATTTTTTCCTTGAATTAACAAATTAAAAATCCATCAGGTGACTTTACTATTTCTAATTTATTTTTTAAAAAGGTCAAAACATAGTCATTGTCCTATGAGTTAGGAAGAATGACAGGACTCTAATTGCAAGGCCTGGGTACAAAATGTCCATTGATTAATGCCAGTAACACATCTTTATGGGGTCATCAATAATTTTCCTTATTCACCTTATAGTTCCAACCCATTGTTAAATGCCACAATTGTGTTTGAAACCTCTTGTTTTTACTATGTTTCCTCCACTAACAGCACCTGTTGCTACCAATTTCCCCTTACATTGTTTCTCCCTCTAACATGGAAACAACTGCGACAAGCTGAGGGTGCAAATACTAATACAATAAACATTTGAGGACCTAACGTGGGTGTTGTAGCATTTACCACACAGCATAGTAATGCTAGAAATCAGTCTCCTCCAGTAGACTATAAGCCCTCTGGGGAGAGTAATCTTTGTCTTACTCTTATTTGTATCCCGAAGGCTTAGATATGTATATAACACGTGCTATATAGGAGGGTGCTTAAACATTCACTGACTAAATGGAAACCTACTGGCAAAGTTTACAACAGATGATCACTTACAAAGTGACTTTGAAGCCACTTCTGTTCTCTAACAGATGAGTATATGAGCAATATCCAAATTTAAAAGCATTTAATTTCTACCAAGAATTCAAAATGAATGTCATACTAGAATACTGTTTATTCGATTAGCTCTAAGTACACGTTACTTACTGTCAATGTTTTCTGGTAATAGCTAATCTTTGCCCGGACAGGATAGGGTTTATTACGAAAGTCCCTCTGGCAACTCGCTAAAGCCTGATTAGCACCATCACTATTGTATGAGAGAAAGGAAAACAAGACACTTAGAAAGCTTTTCGATATTTAAAAGTTCAGGAAAATTAAAATAATTTCAGGTCTGACAAAGTTTTGAGATATTTCAAGTCATTTATTCAGAATACACAAAGTTTTTCTATCAGAACTCTGGGTAACACGAGAAAACGAAAGTTAACCCCCAATGACGGCAGGGCAAAGTTATACGATTTATGTGAGACTAGGGCAGTGGTTCTCTACCCTAAGGCAGAATCAGAATCACTCACTGAGCTTTCAAGTGTAGATTCCTAGATTTCACCCCAAATCAACTGAAGCAGAACCAAGAGGGGGCCTAGGCACCTGTATTTTAAGTAAACTCCACAGGGAGTTGTGATAAACTAAATGGCAAGAAATAGTAAACAGGAACATGGATAAGTAATTTTTCGTACAGTTCACTGATTAGTTAAAAAGTAACTCCTCCACAATGAGCACGTGAAAATCAAAACTGTACATACCTAATTCATATATATTATACAGTCGTCCCTCAGTATCCGTAAGGCATTGGTTCCAGGACCCCTGTGGATACCAAAATCCTCGGATGCTGAAGTCCCTTATATAAAATGGTGTAGTATTTGCATATAACCTATGCACATCCGCCCATATACTTTAAATCATCTCTAGATTTAAATGTATAACACCTAATATAAATCCTAAGTAAGTAGTTGTTATACTGTACAGGTTTTTTTCATTACTACTATTATTGGTTTTTTTCCCAAATACTTTTGATCCATGGTTGGTTGAATCTATGGAAGTGGAACTCACAAATAGAGCTGACTGTTGTTAAACATTTACAAGCTTTGTAAACCACTGAGAGTCTTTTTTTTTTGAGACACAGGCTCACCGTGTTGCCCGGGCTAGAGTGCCATGGCGTCATCCTAGCTCACAGCAACCTCAAACTCCTGGGCTCAAGCGATCCTCCTGCCTCAGCCTCCCGAGTAGCTGGGACTACAGGCATGCGCCACCATGCCCAGCTAATTTTTTCTATATATTTTTAGTTGTCCAATTAATTTCTTTCTAATTTTAGTAGAGACGGGGTCTCGCTCTTGCTCAGGCTGGTTTCGAAATCCTGAGCTCAAACAATCCGCCTGCCTCGGCCTCCCAGAGAGCTAGGATTACAGGCGTGAGCCACCACGCCCAGCCCATCACTGAGAGTCTTTAAATAAAGCAATATTAAGCTTTGATGAGGTGGCATAAATTGCTTACTCATCAGTCTGGTCAAGGTTCAATTTTATTTTCCAAAGATCCCTTTTAATAAAGATGAAAATGCATGACTAGTGGCATCATTGAAAGCCAAGAACAGTCTATAAACTTTCAAAAGTATTATATACTTTTATGTTAAGTAAAAATACATTTTGTGTTTGAAATCTGAGGTGGTCAACAGAAAGAACTTTAAAACAGAACGAAATAAAACCTTTCCACCAAGTTATAAAATACAATTCAAGAAAATGAACAATCTTATTTCAGTTGCAAAGTGTTCAGATCTGATCTACTTTAATATATCTCTGTATATTTCATAAGGTTTCCAAAGAGAAGCCGAAATCAGGAATAATGTAAAAAAACACTTACTTTTGGTGATCATAATGGATTTGTCCATTGTTGCCTATAATTACTATAGCAGGATTATTTTTCTAAAAATAAAGAAAATGTGTTTGTTTTAATGCCCTTAATCAAAAAATTCTAGATCATTCTTGATGTACTACAAGGGCTCTCATATATCTAAGATTCCAGGACTCAAACTCTGAAAATAACACGGCCTTGGCATTCAAGGAGTTATTAGAGTTCTCCTTTAAACTGCTGATAATAACCTCTGGATATGAGCAGAGAAACAATCAGCTGGAGACAAGATCTTCAATCTTACAGCTGCTAAACCCCGAGTTAATGTTTCCAGTAAGTAAGTACATTTTGTTCTTAACTGTTTTAGGAGAGATTATCAGAAAAATTGGCCTGATCAAAACCAATGATTAACATGTGAAAAGATATAAATATGTGAGTTAGCAATAGTCATGCACTTGGATGTTCTCATGAAAGCAAACTGTTACAGTCTTTTAAACATTATTGGTTTCAGCACCTACATCTAAAGACTCATACTTATCAAAATGACTAAAGGCATATAAGGCGGTAGTGGTAGTGGGGTCACTGTTAAGTTCTCAGAGTAAGGGCTCCATTATGTCCTTGGTCTATGAAAAATTGTGTACACGTAACTTTAAACTGATAAACTCCCAGCTATATAAAACTAATTACCATATGTACCGTATAGCTTGGGGACTTTTCTACTATCAAACTAATGAAAGTGTTAAATAAGCTATATTTCTCAGAGCCTAACTCTGCTGGCAGATATATGAAAGTGGGTAACACTCCTGACAATAAATATACCTTTCCATCATTGTCAAAAGAATCAAAAAATATTCCAACACCATTCCACATATCAGCTGATCCAAACACAGGGCCCTCCAAACCTTGATTTTCTGTATACCAAATTGCCTGAAAATACATAACAGGGAACAGTTAGAGGTTAGTAGTATATGCATTTATATACGTTTTCTAAGTTAAAGAAATGATCATACCAGGCCATCAGCTCCAATTCGACCTCTTCCAGTCACTCGAAATGTCACCTCAACTTCCCAGTTCTCAAAGGCTGCTTTAGCCTTTGTCCACACTGACCCTCTTTGGCTTTTTAAAGATGGTGCTACTCGAATTTGATCTGAACTTGGAATAGCATCTAGAACAGAAATCAGGAAAAAAAAGCTTTCAGTTATAATTAGGTAAAACTCAACAAATCATCTCCAAACTGCTACACATAACTACAGAGGTCAAATTTTAACTCAGTAACCTGTACAGTAACTATGAGGAAAAAGTTCCATGTTGACAGTTTCAACTTTAAAAGTTTAGGGCTAATACCTTCCTTATCTTTTTTTTTTTTTTGAGACAGAGTCTCACTGTGTTGCCCAGGCTAGAGTGCCGTGGCGTCAGCCTAGCTCACAGCAACCTCAAACTCCTGGGCTCAAGCAATCCTCCTGCCTCAGCCTCCCGAGTAGCTGGGACTACACGCATGCGCCACCACGCCTGGCTAATTTTTTCTATATATTTTTAGTTGTCCAATTAATTTCTTTCAATTTTAGTAGAGACGGGGTCTCACTCTTGCTCAGGCTGGTCTCGAACTCCTGAGTTCAAACAATCCGCTAGCCTCGGCCTCCCAGAGTGCTAGGATTACAGGCGTGAGCCACTGCGCCCGGCCCACCTTCCTTATCTTTTAAACAGTGAAATATCTCCGCAATCAATCAATAAAGCTGCAAACATACACTAAAAATTCCAGGGACAAGGGGCAGGAGGGAGAGAATTATGACTTAAAAGACAAATTTACTATTTGACTGTGATAATATTCCTTTTTAAATCTCTCAAAAACTTGCATTTTTAAAAACAGCAATGTATTGTTACCAATTTGCAAATGTTAGAAAGCTCAAACAGTGTGAAAAGAACATACCACTAGGAATCAAGAGACTTGTTCCTAGTCTCGGTTCAGCTGTGTGACTTTGAACAAATAATTCTCTCACTCTCTTGGGTTCACCATATGTTCACCTATAAAATGAAGGGGCTGATCACTTCCATAAATACCCCACTAGTTATATGCAAAATATTGTGCATATATATATTCTTCTAGGGAGAGGGTCAACTGAATTTCAATTCAATAAGCAATTCTTCAGCTTCAGCAGATTCTCAGAGAAAATCGTAAACCCCAAAATGGTGGTTTGCATGTCCAGGCTAGTTTCAAGTTCCAGCTCCCCTATTTACTAGCTATTTGATCTTAGGCAATTACTCCATTTCTCTAACACCTTCATAGGTATATAAGTGCCTGCCTACATAAGTGCATATAAATGTTTCAATAAATATTAGCTGTTCCGCCTATTATTGGACTAACACTAGATAATTATTACAGCACCTATGAAGCCTAAAATTTGAACAATTCTAGCACACTATCTCAGATATTAACCAGTTCTGACATTCAAGCTGGGAGATAAAACAACTGTAATAACACTTTACAGGTAGAACAAACCTGACAAAAATAAAGGTTGAGATACTTTAGTAGGATCAGTCAGTGTCTCCATCACTTTCAAACACTCAAAAGAGGGAGGGGGCATCATGGCAAGAGAACTAGACAAAGAATCAGGAGAACTAGATTTGAGTTCAATTTTACTGACATTTACTACATAACCTTTTTCAAAAATCTTAACCTTTCTGAATATCAGTTCTTTCATCTGTAAAACAGATAACACCTGCCTTGCCTACTAAGGATCAAATCAGAGAATGAAGTCAAAGAGCTCTGAGAGCTACAAAGGGTTACAAACTTATCATGTTTTGCCCTTATGGACCTAAGGATGTGTACTCAAAGTACAAAAGGACATGAAAGTTAAGAAAGAGAAACACCCTACATTTGGTCTTAATTTGGGGGTGAAGGTAAATGGCTATGTTTAAATAAGGTTTTAAATTTCTCTACTTTAAAATTATTTTAAATAATGGATCACAGGGCAATTGAAAAGGGAAAAGTGATCAACGGAGTTAAGAGAATAGTGAGACTGTAAAAATTACAGTGACAATGAAAGCAAGGGATATCCACAGCAGTGATTCCAGAGTCAGTAGCTAGATAAGTCATGGCTAAAACACTAATCCCATTATTTCAAATTCAGTCTAGCCACACAACTTTAATTCACTAAAGTACATTATCTGACATTTCTGCAGCAGACTAGATATAACTGGTTATGGCTCTCTAAAGAAAGTCAAGGTAACTAATTTGAGTAGTTGATTAATATTCCTAATTTGCTGACGTGGTGTATGTTAGTGTGAGAAAAAGAGAAAGAACAGGCAGGCAATGGAGAGGTGCAGATGTGAAAAAGTATGAATAAATCCAACACCACTAATGAAAAATTCATCATCATCCAAAAATCAAAAAAATCCAAAAACTTGTGGTTGTATCATTTACATCACTTGTTTATTAAGAACAAGGTCACTTTGATAACAAATGTCCAGCAATATACAATTGCTGTCTGTGTATATAATAAATAACTGCTGAGTAACAAAGTAATTGCACTCTACTTCAAATACCTGACTGGTCATTATGTCAAAGTGAAATTTATACCTTTTAATTACAAATTAATTAGAAGGAAATGGCCCTTCCTAAAAGTGTGCTTTCTATTCAGTAATTACTTTCTAGAAATATTTGTTTCAAGCACTAAACAATCTAAAATGATGTATACAAGCCTTATATAAATGATTATTTAATTACACATAAAGATAGAATTAAATTGTCAGAGCTTCTCATCTCATATAAAGGCATTTGCCACTTGTTTCAAAAAGCGTATCTATCTGATAGTCACTGAACAGTTTATGACATGCCCAATGCTACAGCTGATTCCTTAGTCAGCAGTGACACATCAGCACTAAAAAGTGCAGATAAGTTTCCTTTCACATATGCTCTAGCAAGGCTCTCGTATCTGTAAGAGTGCCTAACACGAAGAATGAATAAAACTTGAATCCGAGATTGTTTCAATTAAAAAAAATTTTTTTTAAGGGCTTAAGATGTTCCTAGTCTCAGGTTCACAAACAATCAATACTAAAAAATATGCCCCTTCTCCTCAAGAGTTATATAATGTGTTAATACAAAAGAAAAGATCAAAGACCACACCAAGTCACTGAGAGGCAAATTTAAGGTGGGGTTTCAACAGTTTAAGAACGTCTTCTGACATACAAAGATGCAAAAATTACTGTAAGACCAGTATCTACCATCTCTGGAACCACCAGGAACAAATCGCAGCATTAACCATAGCTAACACCAGACGAAAGAAAGAGGGGGTTGGGGGGAGCGGGAAAGGAAGCAGGGAAGCTGCTGGATCAGGTCTCAGGTTGGGGTGGCTGGGGGTGGGGGACATTTCCCTTAGACACGTGGCGTTAGGGTGAAACGTGATGCCTGGAAGAGAGTCTGAGTGCTTGAAAGTGTAGGAAGTAACAAAATACCTCTAGATCAAACGGAAAGTACCGACGAGATCAAAGAAGAGAAGACAGGAGGGGGGTGAGAGTGGAGAGACTGGGTGGGGGGAAGACTCTGGGCCAGGCGGAGGGAACCTTGCCGGCCAGTGGGGACCTGGAGGAGGGGACTGCCGGGAGGGTCGCCTTCACAGTGCATATGGTATGCGGTAGCTGGAACGGGACCCTCAGCATTCCTGGGTGTCGGCGGATACAAGGTGAAGAGGAGACGGAAGGCGAGGAGGGACCCGGGCCCCCAGCCCTCTGCCCCGGCTTACTCCCCGCGTGGGCCCAGAACGGCACGGTCCCGTCGCTCTGCACCAGGTGCGGCCCCTTGAAGCTGTATTTATACTCGAAACGGCGATGTGGCTGCGCGGCCGGGGTGCCTGCGGCGCCGGGGTCTCCTCCCACGCCATCTCCCCCGACGAGGCGACTGAGCGACAGCAACAGGACGCAGAAAAACGGCCGCGCTCTGGCCTGGGGACCCCTACCCCTGGATCCCGCCATCTTGGATTCTGGGACGCGGAGGCCGGCGGGAGAGGGAGGGGCGCAGGAGGCTGCGGACGGCCAACAGGGCGCTCGCTGATTGGTGGAGCCGGGGGGATCCCAAGGGCAAGGGGTGAGCCCCGCCCCCCAGCGTCCGGTATCCAGGAGGCCGCCAGGCACAGAGCATGTGGGAGCCTGGCCACGCGGAGGGGGCGGGTCTGGAGGCGGGGCTTCCAGCTTGCTCCGCCCATCCTCTCCGGTGGGGGTTGGGGGCTCCAAACTTCGCTTCCCACCGAGTGCGGGAGCGGCGGACTGGGGTCTTCCTGCAGGAGGCTTTCTCCTGCCTGTTAAAATACCACAGAGGCGGATTAGCGAGTCCTAAGACCTGTGGAGCCGGGCCATAATAAACCTTTGGAGTATTAGAAGAAAGACATTCTTTTTGATGTGACACCGATTGTTCAGTGGCTGGTTTTCATACGGTGAACTTTCCAGAACAAGGCACAATCAAGAATACTTACGGTCCCAGCCCACTGAGCTCCACCCACTCGTGCTACAGGTTCAAACTAGGAACCAGCGATCCACGGGGTCTTAGAGCTTTAGGATCTTTTACTTGGTGTTGAATAAAGGGGTTCTATGAATTTGTTAGTCAACCTTCATTTTTCAAAATGTAATTCCGAGAGCGCTCTACATTTCGAAACCTTGGCAATAGTACATTCAAATGAAACTGAGTTTTGGTGGTTTTGGAGAGAGGAATCATGTGCTATGGACCGGGGTGTCAATAGAACCTGAACATTTTGAGATAGGGCTGGTCTTTGAGTCAAGGAATAAATTTTGCATTTTAAAGGAAAATCTTCCTACCCTTAGAAAAAAATTGTCAACATAGTCATGGTCATCCAGAATTTTGTTTTTCATAAATGTGTCTTATGACCAATTTTAAAAATCCAAGAAACAGCAGTATGGTTTCTATTGTTTTTACACGTAGCTCTTTATTTCCTTAGCTCTGTCATGTGGGCTATGAATGCCCTACTAGCCTTAAGGACTGAATGTTCGTATTATTTTAACTAATTTTTCATTGACCTCCCAGTTCTCCATCTCCAGTTTCATGGACCATTACTTTGAATTTTTATAGCATTTTTCCTTCATGACTGAGAGCTTTTCAGTTTGAGTTAAATATCATTTTTAAGAGCGTTGAAATTGAGAAACTGGGCCAGGCAAACTGAATTCCTATACCCTTGTCAAAGATCAGCATAGTTTTATTCTAGATAATCCTGTCTGTTTTAAAAGTCTTAGCAACTTTCCATATTTGCTTCAGATATTTAAAAATAAAGATATTAAAATGTTGGACCCTGTTGAAGACCCTTGGCAGGTTCAATTTAAAAATGGCTACAAACAGCCCTGTGCGGTGACTCACACTTGTAATGCCAGTGACTTATGAAGCTGAGGTGGGAGAATTGCTGAAGCCCAGGAATTTGAGACCAGCCTGGACAACATAGCGAGATCTCGTCTCTAAAAAAAATGCAAAAAATTAGCTAAGAGTGGTGGCTCATGCTTGTAGTCCCAGCTACTCGGGAGACTGAGGCAAGAGGATCCCTTGAGCCCAGGAGTTTGAGGCTACAGTGAGTTATGATGACACGACTGTACTGTAGCCTGAGTGACAGAGTGACTACAAAGTGCATGATCTCACATTGTAAATATTTATCACATGTAACACAGTAAAGCAATTGGGAATTGTTGATAAAGTCAGTGAGTTTTTTATTATCTACTTCCCTAGGCACCCAGAACCCTAAATCATCATTCTTAACTGCATAAAAGGCCAGAAACCTACTCCATGCTGAGCTGTTAATGACCTAATATTTTTTTCCCCTCTGTGATTGAGTTCGTATATATTATAGGATTTCATTCATAGAGCTGGGTTCCAAGCATCCCTGAGGTTTATGCAAGATTTCTTACTTTAAAGAGGTTAGCTCATCTGTTTTAAATGAAGTCCCAATGGAAGTGATTAAGGCCTATACCAATGTGGGTGATATTAGTGGCCCACTAATAGAGAACCCAATCAAATTGGTTTGAGCTCATATAAGTAAAAAAGACTAGAGGGAGGTTAGGCTTCAAGCACAGTTGGATCAAGGCTTTAGCCTCCTTTCCTCTATGTGTCAGCTTCATCTTCAGGCTCACTCTGTTAATAGCAAAATGACTATAGCACTTCCAGACTTCATATCTCTACATTACACCATATAGACCAAGAGAGAGCAGCATTGTCTTAGCATTCCCTGAAAAATTCTAAGCTTCATGCTTCATGGACTGCTTAGATCATGTGCCTTTCCCTGAAGTAACCATGGAGGCAGAGAAATAGAACGTGATAACTGATTTGGCCAAGGTCACTCGCTCCTTCCCTTGTTTAAGCTTAGTTTTAGCCTTTCTTAACTTCGCGGATCTCCAAACACAAACTAGGGGACTATTGGGAAGGAGAATGAGATAGGCCTGTATTAGAGCCAGTAATGCCATAAGAAACAACACCAAAGAAGGGAACCAAAGTGTAGCAGGACTGGCTTTTTATGTTGGTACGTAAATTAAACCCTTGAGAGCTGGAGTGGTCCCTCCCCAGCCTGAAGCTCTGGGAATCTACCCCGGTGAGACCTTCTGGCTAGTGCCATCTTCATTGTCAAAAGGCTGCATAGATTGCTGATGTTCAGGTACATGCATGAGGAATTCAGGGGCAACTGGGGAGCTGCACCCATTCATTTGCATTCTAATGTCCCTTATGTATTCTTTGCACAACCTGTCCATTGGACTGATAGTAAAGTGCAAGTTTTCATTCTCTCCCATCTCGAACCAGCACACTCTCTGTGGCTGGCCTAGCTCTGGGGGGATGATGGGGCTGGATGCTGGGGATGTGACTACAAGTGGTCACCGTAATGACAAAATCTCAGTCTGGTTCCTTCACGGTGAAAACTTTAATTCCTTACAGAAACATTCCATGTTTCAAAAATCATTTCCTATCTTTACTACATAGGCATTGAATGAGTTCAATATTTTAAAACTTCAGAATTAAGTTCAGGTACATAAAGCATTTTCTATTAAGGATGGGTGGCAAAACATTGGAATGGATCAGTAAGGGAGGTTATAGACTCTGCTCCGGGGAAAAGTGAAAAATAGAAGAGCTTGTTGACAATGATAATCTATTGACACATGGAAAAAATAGAGTAATTCTTAGAAAGCAGTATTCATGTTGTTCTTTTATAGCATGAAAGTTTCCCATATGACAAATTGTGGCATAAATTTCTCTTAACTTTTAATGAGCCTTTACCATGAGCCAATCTAGTGCTTTGGCTGCAAAGTTAAACAAGACTTGATTTCAGCTTTCAAGGAGGAAACAATCTAGTAGAGACAGACAAATATGCAAACCAAAGGGTGCCTAAAGGGCTGTCAGTACACTAATGACAGTGCTTCTCAAAGTAGAGTTCTTGGATCAGATTGATTCAGATCACACGAGAGTGCTCACTTAAAACCCTGGATCCTGGTTCGCAACCCCAGACCCACTAAATCATCTTCGGGTGGGAAAAGGTGTACAGGGGTCTCATAGACAAGCTCCCAGGTGAATCTCTGTACACTGAAATTCGACTATTGGTATAGGGTACAGTGAGGGCAGAAAAGGGAGGGAATGATCAATGCTTCCTTGGCAGGGGTGGAGATCAAGAATGGTTTTATCATGAATTTGATATTTGAATTGGGCTTTAAAAACATGAGCTTGGATTCTAAAGACAGACATGGTCCGGAGGGGCCTTCTAGAAAGGGAAACAGTGTGAGCAAAGGTAGTGAGGCAAAAAGAATATAGTCTATTCCTTGGAAGGAGCATCACTCTCTCCCTTGTTCCTAGGAATGAGCTGGAGAAGCAGGAGGAGATATATCAAAATCTGGGTGCTTACGAACACAAGGATGTAGTTCTCATACATGTGACATGTGGATTGCAAGCCAGCCAGGCTCTGCTCCACATCTTCCTTCTGGTACTCAAGTAAAGCCAAACGAAGTAGAGGGCTGCTCAGGCAGAAAGGAGGAGAAAATGGCAGAGCCACACAGTAGCTGCTGACCGCTGCACACGTCACCTTTACTGGAAGTCTTTCGGCCAAGAGATGTCACATGACACCAATGGGGCAGGGACATATAATTCTGTCACAGGGAGGAAAGCAAATAGGAGGAATAATAATACAATGTCCCACAGGTAGGAGTTAGTAGAAATCACTGAATCAGTGATTGAAAGGAAAGGTGTGGCCGGGCGTGGTGGCTCACACCTGTAATCCTAGCACTCTGGGAGGCCGAGGTGGGAGGATCACTTGAGCTCAAGAGTTCGAGACCAGCCTGAGCAAGAGTGAGACCCTGTCTCCATAAAATAGAAAAAAATAGCCAGGAGTGGTGGCATATGTCTGTAGTCCCAGCTACTTGGGAGGCTGAGGCAGGAGAATCTCTTGATCCCAGGAGCTTGAGGGGAACTGCACTCTGGCCATGGTGATAGAGTGAGACTCAGTCTCAAAAAAAAAAAAAGGAAAGATGTAAACTATCAAAAGAATTGAATGAGGAGTTCAATAATCTTTAATGTTAGGTTTTAAGGGTGTGATAATGGGATGTTTGATTCATTGATTTTTTTTTTTTTAAATCAGTTGTATCTGCACCGATTAGCCAAAGCGGGCTAAGAAAAAGAAAAGGTGTCTCCCAAAGTGTGCTCCTTATAACTTGCTGGTTCCAAGAGATGCTATGAGGTATCA